ACACCGTCCTCTGGATTGATAAGGATTGTTATCACTAGTAGTCCTGTGCAATGCTGAAAAAAGATTCCCCCCCCCCCGCTTTGATTTTCTTTGTCCCCTCCCCCCCCCATTCAGATGTGAGTTTTCATAGTAAAGACTTTATTGTTAAAAGTATTTTCCTTTTCTCTATTTTCTCATTCTTCTGCTGTGTCTCTGCCCTCCCCTAGATTACTATTCACTGTATATATTTGATTAACTTGCATGATTTGGCCTAGTATTCCTAGTGCCTTTATAAATGGATTAAAGACTCACCATTGTCTGGCAAAGATGTTTTTGAGGCCTTGGCACAAATATTCTTGTATGCGACCTAGACGGAAGGTGAAGTCTTGGTGGGGTGTATGTTTTAGGAGACTTGAAAGAAGAGAAGTCTCTATTTGAGTGATGCCAGAAAATCAATCACCACCAAGGGTTAGCCACATATGTTGGAATAACTGTCGTGTATTTTGAATTTCCAGTGCTATCACAATATCCCTGTGCCTTTATAAGAAAAAAAAGTTAGTAATTTCTTCCAAAGAATGCATCTCAGCTGTCTGATTAGCTGATACCAGGACTTCCTAAAAACACTGGCAACACCTGATAGGTTGTTAGCAGCAAAGAACAATATTTTTGACAGCTTCTGTCATAATGCTTGTGGAAACTTTTTTTTAAGCTGGCTCTCATGCAGATGCCAGGAACCGGATGTAGAAATCCACCTGCTTGCTTGGAAATCTGCCACTGAATTTCCAATTTGCTTTTTCTGAAGCCTAGACTCACAAATGCTTTCTCAACTTTCTGGCATAGCCTTTTGTCTCCTCTTTGGAAACATCTGAAATTTCTCTGTATTATCAGACTGCCTTCAGATTAGGAGATTTCTGCATCAGAGCAAGCAGTAAGTAGTTGGATTACTTGCTTCCTGTTTTTGGGGCCTTGTGTTTCTGGTTGAGATAGACTACAGGGCAGGTAGCATAGCAAAATCACTTTTTCCACATTTGGTGTCGTACTTGCTCAGGCCTCAGCCCTGTGTAATAATGAAGAGAAACTGCAGAGCTTTCTGGCAGGTTTTGAACGTTACAAAACTGTTAATGTAGTGTTTGATTGTGCTAATCAAACCTCCTCTTCTTGCTAATTGGTCAGCACTGGCAACTTGCTGCATGTTGTCTTCTGTCATTCTCCCCTTAATTCCTGGTCACACTGTGTGTCTCCTACTCCTTTCTTGCCAAGGTGTCTTCCTTGACCACCACCAGTCTCTGTTACAAGACTGGCTAAGCTGAGACTAGTAGTTGTGACTTCTGTATTTATTTTTCTGTAGGTTTGAGTTGTTTGTATGCTGAACTTCTTGTTGATGGGAGTAATTTTGTCATATTCAGGTCACCTTGTCAATACAATCTATAATTTTCTAAGGCAATTACCATAGAAACCTAAAAGTCCCAGCTGGCAACTAGTTGGCAACTAGCATTTTGTTTTGAAGTATTCGGACAGTGCTTAACTCAAAGCATGTTCATACTAATTGGCTCTCTGCTAATGAAATGGTGTATTAAGGAGTTCATCCACAGAAAGCTTTCAAGGGTTTGGTATGCTAGTAGGCTGTTATTATCTTGGGCTGAGACAAGCTTATATGAAAGAAGTGTTGTTGAAAAGTATTGCATATGTTACATTTGCCAAATACCAGACAAACAAAAGTAGTTTGACATGCATTAGAGTAATTTAAGTCAAAATTACACTCGTTCTTCCAATTATATGGGGGACAGCTGCTTACAGAGAGTCAATGTCTCATGTCATGCCACTCTTCGTAAGAATGTCATCTATTTAGTAGAGTGTTTTGTAGTTCTGATAAAGTCTTTGGGTTTGTACCCTTCCCCCCATCCTCACAGTTACCTGCACAAGTCTACCTCAGCGGTTTTCTCTCTTATGGGTTCCTTGAAAAAATTGAAAGGCAGTTAGCTGTAGAGTACTTAACATGAAGCGCAACTGTAAGGCTTTGAAATGGCAATTGCATAGAGAATCTGGTTTATGTTTGCCTAAAGCTGTTTTGTGTGTGTGTGTGGGGGGGGGAAATGACTTAGTTAAAATAGAAATTGATATAATGCATGTACAAAAGAAAGTAGTAGCTAAAAATTCCTGTTTGACTACATATAGAAGTTACTTTTTTGGAATGCAAACTTCTGAGCATTGTATTCATTGAAGAGCAGTGCAGTTTTCCAAGTACTCTGTGCTGAGGATTTTTAACTACATGTATTCACTAGTATTTTGGACCAGTTGTAGTAATAAATCTGCATAGAAAGAGGTTGGTAGGTGAAGTTAACAGCATGTTTAATAGTTATTTGGCCAGGGAATGGAGAGGGGAGTGCTCCCTTACTCTTAATGGTGCTGTGTGACATCCTAACAAACCCTGGGAAGAATAAACTTTGAAAATCCTTACTCCAGATAATTTTAAAGAAGCTATTAGGTTTAGGTCACTTAACTCTAAGTGCTAACTAAAATGCATAAAATTGTACTCCAGCTTTGAAAAAAAAAGTTTAAACCATTGACTTTTGACTTTCACTTTAAGCTTACTGAAGTATAAGTCTGTGTGTGGCACCTAAAGACCAGACAGATGCTCTTGCTCAACTGTGCCTCATACTGCAATTCATAGAATAGTAGACAGTCCCTGCCTGAAGCAACTGCGATCTGAAATGCATATAAAATAAAGAAAAGGGGTAATCACTAACTTGTAAGTATAGTGAGCTATGTTATAACTACAGGCATGTTATTTCTATGAAAATAAAATTGCAAAGAGCATGTTTGCGTAGAAGGGCATTAGCTAACTGGAAGGCTAAGGAAAGGGAGAGAGTCCCCTAAGGACTAAAGGACATAATAGACAAATACAGAGTTTGAAGTAGAACGGAAAAGGGTTAGTGCGATATCAACAGTGAGAATGAGATGGCGAAAGGTCTGTCCAACCAGCAGATAATACTGAGGTTGTGTCAACGTGGCTGTGTTGGACAAATGTGATCTTCTGTTGTCCCGTACTCGGACCTCAGCCGACAGCCGGCTGAGACCTGTCAGAGAGTACTAGGCTGGGCTGGGCCCAGGGCTGGTGAAGCAAGCAGCTGGCAGACCTTTTGCTCCTCTGTTCAGCCATGCTGCTGCAGATCCGTGGTTTACACGTCCGTCCTTCTGCCGCTACCCCTGCCTGCTGGGAGCAGCTCTGGCAGCTTCCTCTTTGCAGGTTTTCCTCAAAAGCCACCTGAGTCTAAGCCTGGGCTGGGTGGGGGTGGCTCTTTGTACGCTCCTGGCACCAGAGGAGTGTGGCTGGCGGGGTGGGGGGAAGGCAAGGAATAGCCTGCAGGACTGCTTGGGACAGCTCTAGGAGCTGGGGACAGGGCAGTTCTGCTGCAACCACTTCTGATTTCTACATGCTTAGCAGATTGCTCACGTTAGCAGAAACTCACCCATTTTAATCCAAGCGTGGGCGCAAGATGCAGCTACCTTTCCCAGCCCACTACAGGAGGAGTTCCTGTCAACCTTCTTGTGTTTGTTTTGTGTTTTTGCAGGTTGTGGGCTGCTCATTGCAGAAAGATACAGCTGAAAAAGGGTTAGCATCTTTCCATTCAATTTATGTCCTGAACTTTTAAGATCCTACTATTATGTTTTTGTTTTGGTTTTGTGGGTGTTTTGTTTTTGTTTTGCTTTTTTTTTTTAATGTTAGGCCATTGTATACATTCCATGGGGAACTAGAGATCATGGGGCATTAAAAAGAAAAAGGTAAGCTCTTATAACAGATACAGAAGGGACAATGGATTCTGTTTGGTTTATGTAACTGTTTGGAAGACCTCTGTATAATTCAGTAAAAAGGGAAGGAGGCTGAATTTATAATCTTTTCAGGATGGCCTCATTGAAGCACAAGGAGTACTAATAGTATAATCTGCAGTAATAAGCAGCATTTGCTTTTTTGAAAACAGTTTACTTTAGAAGTTGTTATCTGATAAGTCGATGAGAATGGCTGGGACGCTTAGCAACATAAATAATTGGTAATATTGATTGATAAATAATTTTTCTCTCCCCCTTTTGGTTGCTGATTGGTAACTCAGCGTTTTTACAAATACATGTAAACCAACACAAGCTCAGGAGTGTTCACAGCGAATGTAATTTATACAGCGCCAAATTCTCCTAGCTGCTCTACAGATAATGCTCTAGACTTTGCCCTGATAATCCTTCCTTGCCTGCAAGATTTTAGACTTGTCTGTATTGGAAAATTGACTTGGAAAAGCACAGTGGTATAATGACCAGGTATTATTTTGCCAGTGTTTTCTGTTTGAGAGTTGACTGTTGTTCCAGAATAAAAATGATTTGTGGTATTTCAAACAAATTTACTTTGAGTAATATCATTGTTATTCTAGAACATTGCTTACACAGGAAATTATACCATTGTAGTTTCGTAGTTCAGTTTTCCACAGCTCAGAGCTTTCTGCTCTGAATGCTCTAAGCAGATGAGTAATGGGAAGAATAAAGTGCATTAGGAAGCAAGCAACTAACGCTGACAAACACCTGATTACCGTTACAATTCTGGTTTGGTGTCCTTTTTTGTTTTCTTCCACTGATTGTAGGTTTGGGGTTTATTTGTTGTTTGCTTTTGGGTTTTTTTTTTCTTTTTTTTAGAAAGTTAAGGGACTAAAAGGGTATTTCTGCTTTAAAGAATGAAGGGAATTGCATTTTGTTTATTTGCACCTTTCAACTTCACAAAATATTGCTATTTTCATTCAGATGGGTCGTCTAATCATGTTTACAACTATCAGCCATGTGATCATCCGCGTCAGCCTTGTGACAGCTCATGCCCGTGTGTGATTGCTCAAAATTTCTGTGAGAAGTTTTGTCAGTGCAGCTCAGAATGTAAGTAACAACTTTAAAAGCAATCTATAACTTTTTTCACTGTTCCATATCCCAACATGTAAATTCATATGAGCTGTCTGTCCCTACTGCAAGCAATGTTTTCAAGAGCAGTGTACAGTACAAGAAGGGAGAACATGTTCTGTTTAAGTTGGCTCTTTTAAGATTCCTTTGGACTTTGTTTAATGGCTAATTAAGACTTAGAATTGAGAAAGACTGTAAGAAATTCAGGACAGTCAAGAACATACAGTTCTTCAAATGTCCTACACAGAGTTTCAATGGTTATATATTTTTTAAATATTCTGATCAGCTATAATCTGTATTGTCTTAATTTTACCATGCATGTTTTTCATGTTTGCCTTTTTTTCCATGTGTTTCTTGGTAGGCCAAAACAGGTTTCCTGGATGTCGTTGTAAAGCACAATGCAACACTAAGCAGTGTCCATGTTACCTAGCTGTACGTGAATGTGATCCTGATCTCTGTTTAACATGTGGAGCAGCTGACCACTGGGACAGCAAAAATGTTTCTTGCAAGAACTGCAGCATTCAGAGAGGATCCAAAAAAGTATGCAAATATACACATCTGTTGTCTTTTTTGAGGTGGTTTTTATGTTTTCATGCCAGAGAAAGGAATTTCTTTGACTTCATGCTGTCAGCAAGAAAAAATAATCTAGAAGGGGAGGTAGTTCTTTCACTTGTGTATTGTTCTCAGTTGTATGCTGTGTTAAGCTCTCTCTGTACACTTCATCATCTGTCAGCACCAAACTGGTGTTTTGTATGTAGTACTACAGCGGAGTATCTGTTGTTCCCCTATTCAGGCTTCGCTTGTAATCTGCAGAATAGGCTGCTGGTTAAAATAATAGCTCATAAGTTTTTCCCTAGATCAACCTCAAGGAATCTTGGCTCAGAGACTGGATATTGGCTTGATTTTGTTTATTTATTGTTTCAATAGTTGATGCTGAAGGATAGATGTGTATATAGCCTACCAAAGATGTCTGAAAAGCCCACTTAGTTCTCTGCTGAAAAAAGTTTCTTCATTCTGCTCTGGAACATCTTCCCACAGCCCAGTCAGTCTAATATTAAACTAGTCAATATTAGGCTCCTGTCAGCAGACTTTTATAGTTTGAAGTCCTTAGTGTATACAAAGTTGCTTTTTCATATATGCAACACCTTTATTTCAAGGTTAAACTTTAAATTTGTAGGTTTTCAGGTACTTCATGTGGTTTTCTGTCATGTACAACTTCTTATCTACATGCTTTAATTTTAGTGTGCATTTGATGGTTAGAAGAATCTTTGTCCTATTTCATTGAAGTGGTACATTCCAAAAAAAAATCCAAACCAGCCATGATTAAAGCCTTTTTGTTTTTTTTTTCTTCTTCCATAGCACTTGTTATTGGCACCTTCAGATGTGGCAGGCTGGGGAATTTTCATCAAAGATCCTGTACAGAAGAATGAGTTCATTTCTGAATACTGTGGTGAGGTAAGGAAGGACATTACTGCTTATGCATAATCTTAACTAGTAAAGCTGTGTGTTGGCTAGAGATCAAGAGACTGTCTCTAACTTGGTATCATGTTCTTCAGATCATGTTCAGCAACTCCTGTCAAAGGCTCCAAACTCAGGAGCTAGATGGCTTAAATGTCACAAAAAAATTGACACAGGCTCTTGTGAGAATGAGGCAGGAGTGTCGGTTGCATCTCAGATTTCATTTCAGTTCAGATGTGCCTGGAACTTTGTGCAAAATCACTTAATGTACTGCTAAAATTGAGTAAGTGTTTTTCTCTAAAAGATATTCCACGCTAGTAAGACAACCCTGAATCAGTTATGCAGTCTTGATTTTGAGATTCTTGTAATTTTTGCTTTCCCGCTGCTCTGAAAGAACAACTGATTTATGCTAAGAGCAACCATGACTGTGTGGTAGGCCCAAAATACTTGCTGAAAAACATACTTTAAGTTTGGGAATATTTTTAATGCCAGAGAATGGAAAAAACAAGCCTTTCTTTCAGAGCCCTTTATTTTGCGATCTGAGGCCACTACAGTTACAAAAGAAGAGAGATAGTCTCTTACTAGTACTGTTTCTTTCAGATTATTTCTCAGGATGAGGCAGACAGAAGAGGAAAAGTATATGACAAGTACATGTGCAGCTTTCTGTTTAACTTGAATAATGGTATGTATGTACTAGTCACAACCCCTGCAGCAAAAAAAAAAAAAAAAAGCAATTCTTTTCATCCCTGTTCTTTGCAGGTAGCAGGTAACACTGAAAAGTCCTTTTTTGTGCATGTTTTTTCTCAGCAATTTACAGACCCCTAACACTGACAGCTAACTTTGTGGGTGGGTTTATTTCCCCATCACCACCACCTCTGAAATGCACCTTCCTGAAATGCAAGACAGCTAAACAGTAGTGATGGAGCCTGTTACCCAAGCCAACTACACAAGATGACTTGAGCAGAAATAGAATTTCATGGAGTAAAATTACATACAAGCATCAGTAAGATAGCCTGAATAAAAAAAAGTCTTACTAGCTATTGTCTGCAGTCATTTTACTACAATTAGTAAAATTAGCAGTAAATTATGGAGGCAATTTGGTGGTGGTGGGGAAACCTTGGGAACCAGATGTGTGGCTGCTGCAATTTGAAGAGAAAAATCCTGCACTGTGTAAAGCACGAAGTACTTCAAAACAAAAATTTTTTTAAAACTACCTTCTATAGATGTTGACTTAGTATATTTTATACTTGTACTTGTGAGATAAAGGTAAAGAAGCCTCAAATCAGAAACTAAGGTAATGTCACAGTGGCAGGAGATAAATGGGGAAGGCACAGCATGGGGCAACTGGAAGCTTTTGAGTTTTGCAGCACAATAAAGCTTTTGTATAACGCTGTGCCAGCTCTTCCATGTGGAAAGCCGAGCTGTTATATCATTTCTAGCTGCAAAAATCCAAGCACGCTACATCATATAAAATTTAACAAGAGAGAGAGGCAAAAATGTGGCTGTAGGTGACCTATCCATCCTTTGTTTTTTTTTTCCTAGATTTTGTGGTTGATGCAACACGCAAAGGCAACAAAATTAGATTTGCAAACCATTCAGTAAATCCAAATTGCTATGCAAAAGGTAAGTTTTAAACATTTAACTTGTTTTAGTCTAACAATATATGAAATGTAGGATACTAATTCAGAATACACATCTATCACTATTTGTGTGAAAATGTTTGTGTTTCTTAACAGTTATGATGGTTAATGGTGATCACAGAATAGGTATATTTGCTAAGAGAGCCATTCAGACTGGTGAAGAACTGTTCTTTGACTACAGGTTGGTAGATGGTATTTTGCAACTTCTTCCCTGTCATACACTGCATTAGCTTACATGTATTTTGAGTCAGCTCTAATTCCCATGTCTGCCTCCTGTCCAGAGTTTAGTTCTCAGCAGCTATGCGGCAATGCCCTTGTCCATCCCCCCCCCTTTTTTTTAAATAAGCCAGCTATCATAAGAAGTGTGACTTTAGCAAAACAGCTGGCAAAGAACCTTGCAAACTTCAAAACAGCAGCTGGTATTGAGCAAGGTTCGTTCTTATGACTGAGATATGGGAACTGACATCCACTGTTTCCCAGCAGACCTGTATTAATGTTTAAAGGACTACACTGGTTGAGTCCCATAGGTAGCATCAGGGGTTGTCCCTCCCATCCTTCAGAAAGGGTAGAAATACGCTTGCTCTGTTACAGAAGTGGTTGCTACAATTGTTTTGTTCATACTTTCTTCTAAAATTGTCTCACTTCTAGAAAAACTTAAAAGTTCTCTAATGACAACAAACAGTACTGTTTAAGGTCACCTTGAGAACTGTGGTTTAGTCTACACTAGCTAGAATGAGAGTGACTGCTGTGAAAGCAGAGGCGAGAGTGTGGAATTCCCCCCCCCCCAACCCCTTGTTCAGCCGCTTCTAAAAAGCACTTCCTTAAATGTTTGTTTGCCATTATTCTGTATCTGCACAGTTATATAGGGGCTAGTGCCCCCAGCTGTTGAGGAAACTAGGAAAGCTAGGTACAAGAGTCTTCCAGGTTCTACTGTTATGCCAGAACAATGAAGCTGAAATATTCAGTGTTTACTATTTTTTTGTTTTTCTTTTTTCCTCCTAGATATAGCCAAGCTGATGCCCTTAAATATGTGGGCATTGAAAGAGAAATGGAAATCCCTTGACATGAGCTACCTCTTCTTCTAAACAAACAGCTGCCTTATCTTCAGGAATTTCTAGTACTGTGGGCAATTTTAGAAAAATAAAATGATGCAATTTGAAATTCTGAATTTGCAAAGTACTGTAACAGTAATTTATAGTAACAAATTTAAAAGACAACTTTTTATTGCCTTCTCACCAGCTGCAAAGTGTTTTGTACCTATGAACTTTTGCAATAATGTGGTGTGGTACATTTTTTCAACCTTGAATAAAGGATACTTGAACTTCTTCATTTTTAGTGGAACTGAGTTAAAATTCTGTTTTAGCCAGTTGAGGAAGTGGTTGGAAGACTTGCTTTCAACTTCTGAACAACAAAAGCAGCACCCTACTTAACTATTTCTCTTTCTGTTACTTCAGGTCATACTTGATGAATGTAAAGAAATGAACAGTGCAGATCTGTCAGGCTAACCATGGAAACTTGAAAATATAGTACTTAAGTGAAATATTAGTAAGCCTCAGTTTTTTCAGGAAACCTTTGGATTAAATTCAGGTTTTCCAAAATGTTTTGCTGTTTCAGAACTATTTTGTTCCTCCAGTTAACACATTGTCACAACATGTAACTTCACTTAATTCCCCCCCTCCCCAACTTGCTGCCACATATTAGTCCTAAATAGGGTCCAGTAGCAGTGAATACATTTAAAGGCAGGGGAAACAGGCTGACAAGAAATTGTCATCAGAGCTGCTCCTGCTGCTAGTGCCTAGGAAAAAGAAAGAGGAGGGGAGCAGCTGGAATGGGGCAAGCAAAGCTTTCAAGACAGATTTTTAAGATGTGTCTTTATATCTAGTTGTGCAAGACTTGCTTCTCTATGCATATTAGCTTAATGACAACCCAGGTCCCACGCAGTTGGCTTGAATCTCTGCTCAGTTCAATCAATGTGGAAATTTACTGAAGAGGGCACAATTGTTTTGCTTTGATAAGGAAACCTACCTGTCTGACTCTTTGTCACTGTGATGGTTTTAACTAGTTAAACCTTTTGAACAAAGGGCCAAAGCAAAGCAGTGCAGTCTGGTACTACTCACCTAAGAGTAGTCAGTCAGTCCTCTCTCAAGCATGGCAGCCATCTGCTAGAATACCTTCTTACCTTTTTAGGACACCAAGCAGTAAGTACATCATAAAGAACAACAAAGAATTCACATTCTCATTTTATTAATGCAAAACTGCCAGAACAGTTCAAACTTTTCCCTTGGGGGGAACTCCTGTTATTTGTTCTCTTGAGTCTCCCCCCATCAGTATGGTGGCAATGTGGGCAACTTGACCAGTCAGCTAGTCACCTGTACCAGCCAGTCAAAACTAATCTGTTTTCCAGTTCAGTCTACAGCAGATGGGTTTTAAAAATAAAGATATTTGTAAGACACAGCATTAAAACCAAACCAAACCAAATCCCTAGACAGAGGCAATGCTGCTTTACCAGTGATGTGTTAGGCTGCCCAACTAGGCTTTCAGAGGCAGCTCTCACATGGCAGGTTCTTTCTGGCTTTCCCCATGATGGGATCATCATTCACTGCTCTAGGTAATGCTACACTCAGGTGAGTTATGCCATGGCAAAGCACAGGATATTCTGCAGAACTGTAAAAATAACATAGCAACCAACCAAAAGAAAAACTCACAATGAACCAACCAAACAAAAAAAAAATCCACAACACCCAACATGGACATCATCCCAAGCTACATTCTTCTAAATTATAAGAGGAAATTCAGTAATTTCAGAGAGGTGTTTCTGTTTCCCACAGTGGCAATCTTCAGAGTAGTTCAAGACCTTTTAGGATGGAAAGAGCAAGCAAGCAAAGTCCCAACTGGGATGAGACTTTACTTCAATTTTCCAAACCACTTCAAATCAGTTCTATTACTGCTCTATCATTCAAGCAGGGACTTCACTAAGCTTTCCTTTCTTTGTAACCACCCATTTTTGTAGCTCCCACAAAACAAAGCACAATTGTAGCCATTAAAAGTTAATTTTCCCCACTGAAATACAGTATCAACACCAATCCTGGGCCCCTTTTCTTCTTGCCACAGACAAACAATGAACAAATTACCATTTCTAAGGGGAAAGAAAAGGTTTAGCTACAGCCAGCTAGGGTCTTTTCACCATCATATACTTAGCAAAACCGAGACCTAAGTATGGTAACCTTTTGTAGAGTAGACAGTTAACATTTGAAAGCCAATACTCACTTCATCATAAACACACAACACTGAGAATGGAATGAAGGCTGCTCAGTCAATTTACACATACTAACAAACACTCAACCATTTTATTCCCATGGCAGGTTGCACTCAATAGGAATTGGGAACTATTCTTCAGGAACATAGTCAACTTCCTCTTCTATTCAGACAGAGGAACAGCCTAAGCTGCTTATTAATTCTGGGCAGCATGTAAGTGCAATGCATTTTATATCTGTTTAGGAGCAAAAAAATGCCTCTCATTTCAAGTGATCAAGTACTGCCATAAATATTTTAAGTATTTTCTATTCCACATATTTTTTGAGATCAGCACAACTTTCTTCTCTTTCCAAAACAAACATTTCCTCTTAAAAAGAAACAACACGCACATTTGATTAGAAGTGAAAATTAATTTCCTTAAAGGACAAAATGTGCTTTAAATTACTGGAAAATAGTGGAAATGAGGAAAAGTAAAACATTGTTATAGCTTTCATAACCATTATACCTTTTATTTACATTTAGAAAGGTAAGTACTGAAACTTAAAACAATAAAACCAAATGCAACTTGTACAGAAATCTTTTAATTTTTTTTTTTTTATTTATCACACATTAAAAAATGAAACACACTATACAAATGGTTTTTCATAGCAGATTACACATGGGTCCATTCAGACTCGCTCTCAAAGTGCTGCCAACATTTATAAGTGCTGCCTGTGATGACAGCTGTTTATCATATAGCCAATGTATTGATTTAAATGCAGTAGCATGCAACCCTTAAAGGAGAAGGGTTTGATTCCTTTCTGTTCTTAAATTAGGTTAAATGGCATTGGTGTCCATATTTACATACTTGAAATGTATCAATCCTGAGCAGTTCTGATGTAAATCTGAGACTGGCTGATGGGAGTCCTGGTCTCAGTTATTAAAAAGGGAGGTCCAAATGGCAGCAGGGCGGCTGCTATGAAGTTCAGTTGCTTTCGTTCTTTCCATCACATACCTATTTGCTGAGTGTCACACAGTCAGATAATTGCTAATAAAAACGTTAAGCCAAGTAACTGTAGGTGTCCTTCTCACCATCAACACGTTCCAAGTACTCCTTCTCAATCAGAATGTCGATGCATTTCTGTAGGAGGAAACAAAAAGGTAAACAGTGGACACTGCAGCAGAAACACCCTTTCTGTGGTGGCTACAAGGTTTTAACAATATCGGCTGTCAAATTTCAAGCCAAGTAGAGGAGGGGGTAGAAAAAAGGGGCACAAACCGCAGCAATTGGCTTTCCCGTTACTGAGAACATCCAGATAGAGGACTTCACTAATCCACTAAACTGAATTACAGTTACCTGATGCCATTCCAGGGTAGTGACTATCAGTATGCTGAACAACTTCACAGTAAGATGGCAAACAAAAAAAATTAAACCGAGATGCAGAGTGCTTATTGTAATGTTGCAAAATATAGGGTTGCAGTAACTAGTACACAGTTAGGTCGTGAACACACAGCATCTCTTTCAGCATCAGTGCCAACTACTCTCCACTGCCTGTTTCTTGCTCCATGCTGCCCTCTCAGCTGTGCAAGTAAAACTATTTGTGGGACCACTAAACAAACGTGATGAGGGAACAAGAATTAAGTATGATCCACTTCCCTCCTCCCCCACTCCTCAAGTTATTTTATCCTACAACAGTTCTCTGATCTGTTGTATTAAGCAGGTCTGTAAGCAATGGCCATCGGCACAACTGGGAGAGCCGCGCAAGCGCAGGAATGAGAAGTAGGTACGGGGCAGGGGCTGCTTTAGGCTAGCACTGCTGCTGCTGAAAGCAGCACTTGAGCTTCTATTTTGCCATTGCAAACAAAAGCAAACAAGCACATGACTGCTTGAGAAACCGCAGGAGAAATACAGTATTTTGTGTTCAAATATTTCCTGCTTGTTTAGAACTATGAAAATTTGTCCCAACTGATCTCATCTCAGTTGCCCTTTTTAATTTGGAAACAACACTCTTCTCCCCCCTTCCCTCCTCTGACACAGACTCAGAGCTGCAGTTCTCACATACCTTAATTACTGGAACTCGTGGTTTGAACCTGGAGGAGAGCTGTGTTAGCACTTCCCCAAGCAGTTGCTGGTGTTTTAGAACTTTCCTCATTTTCATGATTCTCACAATAGCAGCCTGAAGAGCAAAGTCAGAAAGATGTGCTTAGGAGCATGCAATTTGTCCTTCTGGATCAACCCACTTTACTTCCCCAGCAGATCATGCAGAAGCATCACCACAACAGACCTGAGCAGCAGATGGAGAAAAGCAGGCCTGCAAATGCCAACTATTCAGGCAGACTTTAAGAGCTCAGTATTCTGTATGCAGCATACGCTCGTTAGAAGTGTTTCTCGACACATGAATTGAATTAAGAACCACCTTGCTTAAGGTCAGTAATAATAATGGTACTAACATCAACATAAAAATATTTATATAGCATTAAGTCTTATTCATGTATTTAACCTTAATGTTGCATATTCTTAGTAAAAAATTTTACTTCCTTCCCCTGCATTTGCTTCTCAAGTGGTTTCCTAATGAACTGATAAAATAACATCTTCAAGACTTATTTTTAACATATCCCTCTATCCAGACATTATGTATTATTATTTATCCATCTAGTTATCTGTCTAGATATTAACTGGTTTTCTTCCAAGATCAGTACCTGGTGAGGGTATGCATCTTTGCAAGCCAAACACTCATTAGCATGTTGTTAAAACAATGAAGAACAACAGTATCCTATCATGCCTTTTTACATTTTCTATTATAGACTCTAATAGCCTTTAAGAGTATTATAAATACATTGCTGGATCAAATCTGATTCTGCACTGGAATAGCACATTGTCTTTTAATAAAATAAGTAAATCCACTCTTCATTAAAGAATTTCACAGTTACAATTGTAGGTGCATGGTGTGCAAATACTCTGCAATTCAAATCACCTGAATCAGTAGTTTCCTATCTTCCTCTATATTTTTGTGTGTAGTTTCTTGCTCCTGCTTCTGTTCAGTCTTCATTGGCACATTGATGTTTACCCTTAACTTTTTGCTGCCAAAAAAAAAAGTTAAGCAAAAAAAATTAGTCTGCTTTCCAAAAAAAAAAAAAAACCACCACCAAAACCCACACTGAAACAGTAATCTTTTTAATTCTTATACTTTAAGAGCTACCCAACCCCTCCCCTTTTTTTTTAAAATTAAGATGTTCCTAAATAGAATAAAAAAACCTAACGCCCAAACTGCCTCAGTTTGGATGTGGGAGCCAAAATTACCACTTTCAAAAGTGCCATAGCCTTACTTTCAGCAGGTATTTAAATAAAAGTCATTTTGACTTAAGCCTAGAGATTACTTTTAAACAAAATGTGACTTTGGCACTTTGGAAAATTTTAAATAATCTTATTCAAGGTAAAAGCCAGCATGGCTCATATGCTTGCCAGGGCCCCCACCATGGTGGGGCAACTCCACGATCATGGGCCCGTGCTCTCCAGGCAAGCTGCTGAGTTACAGGCAGGGAAGGAGCCACGCCAGCTGAGCGGCGTGAGCACGTGGCAGCGCTTAGCCCGTTGGCTGCACTCAGAGCCTGGCTGGTGAGAGACGAGCCATTATTTACTGAGCACGGTCTCGTGACATAATTTGGGAACCAGTGTTCTAGGACAGTGCAGCAACAGTGAGGCGTTTCCCTTATTACGCTATGTAACTGGCCCTGAATTCTCAAAAGACCACAAACAGATCTGTAATTATTGATCAAGGAGGGAGGAAAGCAGATAAAAAGTGAGGCCCAAGGTTTTTAAAAAGTGTTTCTTTCACCAGAGAGCATATCTTTAAAAGTACCAAATTCATCACTGAATTTGTCTACACTCTGATAAGCATGATACAAAAAAAAAAAAAAATCACCACAGTAGGGTGTACAGCTTACAACAGATGAATGTTGAAAACAGCACTGGTTAAGTTGGTAAAGACTATGGAAAATTGTGCTCATTATATCAGTTTTCAAGGCACTTTACACTCTGAAGCTCTACAATGAGCCTGCTGATCTTCATCAGGTTATCTCTAGTGGAAGAGCACTTAAAACTTTGACCTTTGCTGATCACTGTACATCATGGTAACCTTATAAAATATAATGTATTTTGCTGAGTGCATGTAAATATCATGCACGCTGGCAAAAAAAAAAGGGCATGATAATATAATATTTATGCAGACATGAATCAAGGAACAAAATGGAGATGCAAAAACATATTCAGGCCTTGACAGACTTTATGACAAAGTTGAACAGTTGAAATCTTCTCCATTCCCCTACTAGCCAACTGCCTCCTTTGAAGCAGGTATATTGGATCCACATTTGAACTTGCAGTTGAACCACAAAGCTTTCATCCCACACATATTAGGGTATATGCAAATTTTGAAAGCAGAAAGGCAGCATGCTGCCAATTATACACAAGTGATGTATGCTGCTGAAGTTTTTCCTTACTTTTTATAACCGAGATAGAGTTTTATTAAGGTATCTGGTTTCAACTCCACCTCATCAACATTTGCATTTTCATCTTCCAAAACCTGTAAGAAATAAATTAAGTAAATAAGTATTAAGACATTTTGCTGAATGTTAAACAGATCATAAAAAAGCAAAAGCACTTACGAGTAATTTTGATTTCAGCAGTATCTGTAGAACTTGTGCCAAGATATCCTGAAAAGTTACAGGAAAAAAATTATCAGCACAGACATATAGCACCTTTCTCTCAAATTTAAAATCTTACAGTGCAACATTCTGCATTTAATACACATTTCATTTTTCACAACTTTGAATCATGTTGTTAAACGTCTACAGAAAAGTACAGTTAAAAAATACACAGATTCAGAAAAAGCAGCAAAGACTGCAGAACACAGATTCACAGGATAGGTAGGGTTGGCAGGGAGCTCTGGAGGTTGCCTGGTCCAACCCCCCCCGTTCAAGCAGGGAAGGATAGACCCAGTCGGGGTTGGAGCATCTCCAAGGATGGAGACTCCACAATCTCCATGAGCTATAAGATGGGGCTGGGAAATGGTAAATACATAGTTCACAAAGACAAAACACTGTAGGGCCCTTTTAGGATGTAAGGACACGTTCTCCTTGCAGTTAATCAACTGTTGTCAAATCCTTCAGAAAGGCTAATCTCACAGAACAGATCTTTCCAATTACTGTTCTATAAATCTGCTTGCAAAATAGCTGTTAAGTGTAAGAAAGCATTTTGCTCAAACCATGGAAATACAGGTACCATGCCAGGCTCAAAACTCAGAAAATGAGCACCCTCTGCTTTTTGATTTGCACATTTTTCATGTCTGGCCTACACCAGGAACTTGCCCTGATTACTGTCACTGCGCAGTGACCGAGGTGGCTACCCTCCTGTAAATATACCACATAGGCTTGCAGAGCTGCTATTTTAAACAGTCTTATTGTGAAAATTATCTGGGTTTTACACAGTCAGGTGTTGTCCGTACAAAGAGCTTCTTTATTCTGGCCTAACCAAGAATTTGGGCCAAAATGTTTATATCTCTGACAGCCAACAAGCTTCTATAATAAATGCAATTATTTATTATAGATAGGCATAGATAGGACCTCTGAATTTCCTGTAAAGCATCAGCAGCAGTAACTTACAGATGCACATTTCTGAAAGTAAAAAATCTTCACTGACTAGGAACTGCCTGACTTTCCAGAAGTACCATCCAGCAGACTTGGTTTAAAACTATTATTAAAAGACATAGATGTCTAATAAACTGTGGGCCACAAAGTCTATTTGAAAAGAAAAGAAGGGAACCTTTTCCACAACACATAGCGAGACAATGAATCTGCAGGTTCTGCTATAAGCCTTGAGATACAAAGAGGAAGAAACACAACACCTTAACGTGGGGAAAAAACTGTTTCCTAGAAGTGTGTGCTTCTTTTTTTTTTTTTTTTTTTATTTAAATTAGAATTAAAACATATGCAGGGAAAAAACAAAAACTCA